TAAGAAATAAAAAAAATAAATCAACATTTTCTGCTCAGAACAACAAAAATCTCAGCAGGAACCATTTCATGTTGATGCTGCATTAGTTTATCAACTACATTCCCTTTGAGAAGTTAACAGATTTTTGAAATGTCAAAAACTAAAATATTCAGACATCAGTAATGAGATTTAATTATTAACACGTAAAATTGCAACATCAGCTCAGATCTGGGAAGCTTTGGGTTTTAAATCCTTTTCAACACGCTGACCCTTTTACGTTTCAGATTCAGCTGCATTTTCACGGCCATAATTAAATCCTAATTATTCTGTTTCTTGTTCCTGCAGGTGGCCAAGCGCTGGGGTCAGTGCAAGAACAAGCCGAAGATGAACTATGAGAAGCTGAGCCGCGGCCTGCGCTACTACTACCACAAAAACATCATCCACAAGACGGCGGGCAAGCGCTACGTCTACCGCTTCGTCTGCGACATGCAGGGCATGCTGGGAAAGACGGCGCAGGAGGTCCTGAGCAGCCTGAGCGTCTCACCCACGAACACAGAGACATGGCCGGCCTCTGGGGCGGCGGCCGAGCCCAGCGGCGGGGCCTGGTGAGGGCCCGGTCAGGTCCAGCCGGGCCCGGTCAGGTCCAGCCGGGCCGGGTCGCAACATCAGGAACTCTGCCAGAAGCAGAACATCCTCAGAGGATAAATCCGCTTCAGGAAATGTGGCGATGCTGCATTTCAGAGAAAAAAAGCAGCAAAAACACACAAATCCACCTTTAAAACAAAACCTTGTTTCATGCTAAATGTTTGAAACCTCCGGACCAGAGAAGCACTGCGCATTTCACTCGATGCTAAGAGGACAAGAGTAAATATTGTTAATAAGACTATCTTGTAGAGTTTTGTGCATTTATATTATTATTATTTTTTATACAAAACTCATTTCTACCTCCTTTGCTACAGAGAAGAACAACCTGGTGTTTAGTTCAGACACCTGGAGAAAATATTTTTATCGGTTTCTGATGAATATTTGTGTAAATAAAACTTTTTCAGACGAAGAATGTGTTGAGACTTGTTATATTTTATGAGCCAGTAGGTGTCGCTGTTGGCTGATTCTTGTTGAACTATTTAACTGTATTTTATATGAGAACAAAACGTGAAGTTTCTGCGTTAATGCGGCATTTCAGAAGCATCACATGAATAAACCGAGGGGAGACCGGAAACATTTATTGTGAATTATTAATTTGGGTAAGTGATAAAATGGCTGTGAATTTTTCATTGAAAAAGCATTTAATCTAGAGACATGGAAATTAAAAGATTATGCCACGACTGTGAAAATATTTAGGTAATTTGTTGATGAATTGTAGATTTTTTTTATGAGTTTGTTATAAAATTATGAGATTTTTACTGAAAAAACATTAAAACTATAAACTGTGATCATGTTTCACATTTTGACTTGATCAAATATTTTTGCAGTTTGTTGAATTATTGACATTTTACTGGTTTCTGCTGTTGTGTTTTTTATGAGCTCATTGGAAAGTTTGGCTGGTTTTAAGAGGAGGAGCTGCTGACTTCATCATCATCATCATCACAACATTGGTTGTCCTGGATGAGTTTTGGTGGAAAATTGTTTTTCTTTAACTTATTGACATAATGCTGCTCTATGACAGGAAGAGAAACGGGCTCAGAGGTCCAACACAACCAGACAAGAACTTAATGTCGACGGATCAGACGAAGCTGTAGGGCTTATGGCTCTGGATATGATTATGTTGTCTAGAAAGAAGTTTGAGTTGTTTCACTGTAACAGGAGGACTTTGATAGTTAGTGAACTTTTCCATGATAAGGTCTGTTCCTGATTGTAGGCGGGCCGTGAGCAGCAGCATAATGCTAAGAGTTTGCAGATTTATGTTTTCACATCCACCTGAATAATGTGTAGTTGCGCCACTGAACCACACCATCTTCCAACTGGTTTACACACTGATTACTGAGCATGCTCCATGACCTTTGACATCCAGCAGTAAATGTGACGCTGCAGAACCGCCCTGCTGCTCTGCAGGTGGAGCGAAGTGGAGGTTCAGGTTGAACAGATCAGTCTGCAGATAGGAGGTCCAGCTGGGTGTTTAGAGCTGAACTGAGGAGGAGCCTCCGTGGTGCCTTCAGGGACCTCAACCTGCTGGGAAACTGTAGCTGCTGCTTTAAAATAAGCAGTTCAGCTGCACTTCCAGAGACTCTGTCGTCTTTAATAATATATAAGACATTAGATGGAGAAGGATGGGTCAAACCACATTTCCCCATAGCATTTGAACGCATCACTTTAAGGAGTGGAAAAGTGTCAGCAGCTCATTTCAGCCCAGCGCCTGTTGCAACAGCCACAGTGCCTCTGCATCATCTCAGTGAGAAATGGCTCCAAAAAAGCCCACAAAGGTTCTAGAAGATATCTTGGAGAACCTGTCAGAGAGGAACTTTAAGAAGTTCTGCTCAGGACTTGTGGGCCGGGATAAGCGTGTCAAGAAGAACCAGGTGGAGAATAAAGACTTCTTGGAAGTTGCAGAGGTGATGATTGAGAAATACGCAGATGAAGCTCTGAAGGTGGCCGAGGAGCTGCTCAGAGACATCGACTGCCAACAGGCAGCAAACGACTTGGGTAAGAACAGCCACATTATCTGGATCCATTTGTCCTTCCTTCTGCAGGGATCTTCAGGAGAATTAAAATATTTCTACTGTTTGTTTGATTGAACTGATTTCACAGAGTAAAAATTAAACCATCTCCTTTACTTTTAAAGTAATGACTACAGCTGTACTGGATCGGTTCTGATCCAACTGCAGCTGATCTCAGGATGCCTCCTAAATAACACAGCTTCATCTGTTGGAGCTGCTCTAGCTATAACAGAAGATTTTTATACAGACATGAATTTAAAATATTATATTTAAATGGAATATAATTAGGTACAATAATTGGAAAAGACTATAAATATATTTTTATTTCTAACTTTGGTACTAAAATGTTTTGGAAACAATCAGAAAAAAAGCTAAAAACTTCATGTTTAAAACAGTAGATCCTCCTATCTTTATTTAAAAAACACATCTGTGTTACACATATCTATGCTGCCATTATAATGATCACACTGCATTCTTCTGTGTTGTCATAGCCGCAAAAATGGGTAAAAATGCATAGAATTTGGTTTTAAGTTCTTTATTTCTTATGTTTTACAGTTGCAGAGGTTAAAGAGGCAGGTTTACGTTGGGAAGATGATTCCACCAGTGGTGAGATTTTCTTTTTTCTTTTAAACATGAGTAACAAAAACCCAGACATTCTGAGATTGTAAAAATCTAATCAAAGATAAACGACAATTATTGTGACATACATTTTTAAAACAATGCATGACCATGAGCTCTCCTATGAAAGTTAAAGTATTATTTCAGTAAATGGGTAAGCTATTGATTATTAATAAATTCTGATATATTCTGCCTTAACAGAGGTATTAATATTGGATATTCCCCGAAAAACAATGAAAACCCGAATAAATCTGAGGAAAATAGGACGAATGTTGAGCTAATAGCACAGAGCATTCGTCACCAAGTCAGTGGTGGAAGTGAGAGCGTTGCACAACATAAATTCAGCCAGAACAAATGGCTCTAAATAATAAACCAGCTTTGAGGTGCATAAGTTGCCTCAAGGAATTTTAATAATCGACATACTTGAATTATTTGATGAATCGTTACAGCACTAAAGTCAACTGTCATATTCTTCCTGTCCTTTCCTGCTAAGTCTTCAGTCATTCAGTCATTAAATGTTTTCTTCCACACATCACCCAGGACCTGCAGGTCATCAGTTGTCTGGAGGACGTCTGCACAGAGCAGGTCCTAATCTGCTGAAGGAAAGACTGTGATCAGTCCCTTCGTCCCTCAAACTGCCAAGACGAACCATGCAGGAAAACCCGTCAGATCGAGCCATCTTAAAAATGCAAGACAGACCGGTTTAACTTAGTAAAATGTTCAACTGCAGATGTTTACATGCAGAGCAGAGGCTTTTAAAACACAGACAGTCCACTGATTTAACAAGGAATTGTTGTTGAAAACAAGCATGTTCTCCTACAACCTGCACAGCAAAAAAACAAAACAGAAATGAACAATGACAGTTGAGAAAAAACACTTTGAGAAATTTATTTAATTTCTACAGCAAACAATCAACAGAGAGAAGAAGGAGAATATTTTTCAGTCCTTTTTTTTGTTTTCTTCTCATCAAACGAAATCCATATTTTTCCTCTTTCCTTAAAGAGGCGCACAAACATTTCAACAAATGTTTTACCAGGGAGCCAATGAGTGTTGGCAACACGTTACATAATGCATTCATAAATGTGCTCTAATAAATGTAACCTGAACTTTTCTTTCTTTACTCCACCAGAAATGACAGTGAAAGACTTTTGGATGTCCAAAAAGGATGATCCAGAGGTCAGTAATCTATCATCCTGAGTGAAATATGCTGATAATGGTAAAGAAAAATGTACATATAAAAACACTGAAGGCAAAATAATTTGGTATTTTGGATGTATTACCAATCTATATATATTTATGTAAATAATGAAATCTTTATTTGATTTTTGTTAATTTTTTTCTCACTGTAATGTTAATTTTACCTTGATTTATAACACCAGGTTCCAGTTCAGCTGTTTCTTTTTGACCAACAGCTCATTTTGTTTCTTTTCTCTCCATGTGTCTGTCAGGTTTACTGTGTGACTGAAGACAACTACAGGAACCGCGTCGCTCTGCTGATCACTAACATCAAGTTTTCTGATGAGAAACTGGACAGACATGGAGCAGAGAAAGACGAGGAGAACATGGAGAAACTTCTCCAAAGTCTGGGATATGAGGTGGTAAAATGCCAAAACCTCACTGGAAAGGTGCTTTTTTCTAACTGGGAGAATAATTCAAACTGGTTCTCGTCTGGTTGATGAATAAATGTAATAACTGGTAACATGATTTCCTGTCTTCCTTCAGGGGATTGATGACGCTTTAAAAGGCTTTGCTAAACATCCCAAACTGAAGCAGACTGACAGCGTGTTTGTGGTTATTATGTCTCACGGCAAACTGGGGAAAATTCTTGGGGCTGACTGGAGAGAGGACAACCCAGATGAATTTGCAGTTGACAAAATTTACAGATGCCTGAACTCCAACGGCTGTCAGGCACTAATAAACAAACCAAAGGTCGTCATCCTACAGGCCTGCAGAGGAGGTGACGTAGATCTGCTACTACAGATAAACTAAGACTCACTGAGAGATCATGTAAGGCTCTTTCCTTACCTGAGTGTCATTTCTATCTTTCAGTAAGAAGTGGAGCCACAACTTGGGTCCATGACGGTGAAAGCACCGGGCGCCCTGCTCCACCGCCTGAGGACCATGTACCAGAGCTGGATAAATCTGCACACGTAGAAAAAGACTTCATTGCTCTTCTCGCCAGCACTCCTGGTGGGCTTACAGTCAAACTTTAGATAAACCTGCTCTCATTGTTGTAGCTTCATGACTTTCTCATGTCTGTTCGTCTTCCTGCAGACAATAAGGCGTACAGAGAGACACAAAATGGGTCCATCCTCATCCAGAACATCGTGAAGGTTTTCACTCCAGAATCATATCAGAAACACATTATTGATCTTTTCACCAAGGTACGAAAAATATATGATTTCTGAAATCAACTTTCAATTAATTTTGACTGTTTTGAAGCAAGAAAACAATTTTTCCCCATTAATTTACTGCAGATTATATAAAGATTAGGATTCAATTATAGCAATGCCAGCGCCAAATAAGTGATAACGATGTATAGAAACAGCAGAGAAATAGTTCACCGTTCCAGAATGTGTCCTTAAAGAAACAAGCACAGATTCAACTCCTTCTGGGCATCCAGGTTATCTCAGCTACCCCATAAAGATGGCGTTCCCCTAATGGGCATCCAGGGGTCACATTAACAGAATATTTTCTGTATTTGACTGTTTTTTGTTCATTTCTTTATTTCATTTCAATTTGACAGGTTATAATTCATATGCACAGATATTATAAACTTTGGACAGAGGCAACTAAACTCAGTCAATAAAGAAAAGTCCTTTCTGAAGATCATCTCATGGACTCTGAACTAAATGCGTCTTTCAAACCGGGAGCTGAGTTGAAGAGTTATGGATGTACGTCTGATATGGCATAAAATTCACATCACGATGTCTATTGTGATGGGTGGCAGTAACAATGTATATGACTTTATGTTTTTGGATAAAACTTACAAAAATCACATAGTAATTGAGTGGAATGTATATATTTGTGTGTTAAACCCTGATGTAGGTTGGTTTTGTAATGTCTGTAACTGTTTTGTTTTATGCAGCATATTAATACTACCTGGTTAAATCAAAGCAGGGCCGGCCCCAGCCTCCATGGGGCCCTAAGTGAAATGTGGTTTTGGGGCCCTCTAGTTCTGCTAACAATGTGGACTGGCTGCAATCAGCAGTTCGATCATTAGATCATTCACACACCTGCTATAAACTTATTGCATCTCTGGCAGTGCTGTTTACATTATATACATGTATAATAGGATACATTTATTGGCCAACTGATTTATCAACCAGTCGATTTCTGGGCACCGATTTCCTTAATTTTGGGGGATCGTGATCTGCTGATACTTACATGTGAAGCTGATCTTTATAACTCAGCGTCTGTCCTCTTCTGCTCTGCAGTGAGAGGTTTGACTGACAGACCCACCAGGTCTGGTCTGCACGTTTACAGTTAACAATATTCACCCACTGTGGAAACTCAGTGACTTTCTTGCTATATTTAGCGACATTTCAGACAAAAAAAATTCATATCAGCCAAAATCAAAATCGGCCGGTCAGGCTTTTTAAAGATCGGTAACCAGGGATCGGCCAGAAAACTGCAATCAGTGCAGCCCTACACACATTCATGACATTCTTTAATTAAATCAATTTCTCTTAAGCGTTACTCCAATAGCTAAAAATGTAATTTATACCAGGTGAGTCTTTCTCTCCTGAGAATGTGGGCCGGTACCGGTACTGGACTGATTCTGAGCCTTCAAATGATTTTAACAGAAGTTTCTCATAACTTAGAAAAATAATGTTTGTTTTAGCCACGAAATGATTCAACTACAGCATAGAGCAGCTAATCGACGTAGCAGCCAGTTAGCCTGACGTAGAAACATTTAGCTAGTGTAACCGGTGTATGCTAGAAGTGTTTCTTTACCAATAATCTAGTCTTATAGTCGGTTAACCTTGATGTGTTCTGCGTTGTGTTCAGATGAAGAAGGGAGTCAGACCACTGGAGTTGCTGGTTGATCTTTAATGCAGGTTGCTGGCAGAGCACAAATGGAAATACAAAAAGCCCTTTAACATGCAGCTCTTCCATTCACAGGAGTCGGGATTCCCCCAGCAGAAACTCTGTGACTAACTAATAACAATATCTGCTCTAACATTTACAAAACAATGTTCTGAACTTGTCAAAAGAAATATATGTATTAAAACATAAACATTCACAGCTGCATGTGGTTTCAATTATTTTATAAATTTAAAAAAACATGAACTTAACCAAGAGCAAAGAAAATTTGCTACCTCTTCTCAGGCAGCCTAGCCAACTGAGAGTAGTACAGTACTGATGTCATAAGACACTTTCTTAAAGTGACAGTACAGGTAGTAGTGTTTACCTTAATAAAATAATACAATTCTTAAAATATAACAAAAAAAAATAGGATTCTTCAGTGTTGATCAGGATTTGGTGAAATTTCAAACATTATAAAAATAAATAAAAGCACATTTTCTAAGCTTGTTGCACTAGACAATGTCAAACATTGAGAAGTTTTAATTATTGCTATCAAACGTTATCAAACTCGACGTTTTGAAGCCAAAAGTACCTCAGAAATATACAGAGCCACCATGAGAATCAACTTATTTAAAGTTTTAACTCAGTTTCACACAAAGACCCTAGCATAAATGTTTGGCTGTTGAACTGGGTCATTCCAGGTCGCTATCAAGCTAATTTTAGTAGCTTTACAAATCTTTTACATTACATCACCAAGGCTCATTAAAACAAACCTTTATCTTGGCTTTTTTCTGTTCTTCCTCTTTCTTTTCTCCCTCCCTGAAGGATAAGTCCTTTGTGAGACATTGTTTTGCTAACTTAGCTTCTGACCGGAGCTTTGGACGTTTGGATGCTCTGCTCATTGCACGACAGCTCATGTTACCGGCGAAGCGTGCGGTCCCTGCCGTGGCCACCAGAGGGCCCCTACAGCAATTTATTTTTTATTTTTATCCATAAAATAATGATTTCTTCATATATTATCAAATATTTATTATTGTAAAAACAAATCACTTCATAGTGAAATTGTGTGTTTTTGATATTATAATGACAGAAAAAAAATCAGCTCCACTGAGGCCAAGGCCATTATGACCCTTAGTGGCCTTGGGGCCCTAAGCAGCTGCTTAGTTTATTTTGCCTTGGGCTGGCCCTGAATCAAAGTTAAATAAACAAAAAATATATCTATAGAAACAAAATAACTTTAATATAATGGATGCCTGAGTCAAATCCTGCTTTGTCTTCTCAGTGGCTGCATTACTGGTAGTCAAGCATATAAGGAGGTAAAGCAAAATGCTCGTATTTTCTCTCTTTGGAGGAACTGCCATCCTACACACTTTGCAAGTAAAATTCTTTTGCTCCTGGTCTAATTGGTCAACCGTCCCACGGTCTGAAGAGATTGTGTCATATAAACCCCATGAGTTTTTTGCTTTGTGCGCGGTCCAATGTGGTCGCACTGACCAGTGTGCGCTTTTAACAAGAGTTTTTTTCTCTCGCTGTCCAACCCGTGACATTGCGCCGTTCTCCTCCTGAGCATCATGAAAACCATGGAGGTTAAACCCGAACCAGGTCCAGATTATTGTGGTCTCAGCCGTGCTGCTTCCCACTTGCTCTGCTTTGATATCAGCGGTTGTTGACTACAGATCTCTATCACAGGCCAAATTTATATTGTTTCTACCATATTCCATATTTATTGCACATTCCTATAGTTAGTCTGATGCTGCTGATTTATTCAGGAACCTTTAGCTGATTGTTGACTCTGTTTCAACCCCACAGGTCCAGGACCTTGTTTCAAAATGTGGTGACGACCAACAGAAACAGATGCCCGTTATTGACAGAATGACGCTGAACAAGAAGTTTTATCTCTATCCTGGACTCCTGGACAGCAGCCACTAATATGACATGTTTTAATATGATAGGAAGTAGAACGTTTAGTACTTTTTTCTCTGTCCGATTATGTATAACGGAGCAGTAAGTAAATGTGACAAGTTTCCTTTTGAGTTACGAGATTCTGAAAGTGTGGATTCTAAACTTCATAATGATATCAAACATTGACAAAAAATGAGGAAGATATGGTCAGCTGAATGCTAGTTTAAAGTTTTCCCCAAACTGCTGATCTGCTAACTAATTCTGTTACTTTGCATTAATTCCACCTTCAGCACTGAAAAACTCTCATTAACCAGCTTCTGTCTGGCTGATCTAGCTGGAAATATACATTTCTAAAAGTTTTCACATGTTGTGAGTTTCTGTCTTGTCAGTGTTTGTCATGGAGTCATCTGTAAAAATCTGAATTCACTTTAACAAGAAATCTACATCACACCATCATCCTGTTCAGTGGCTTCAGTGACTGTATTATTGACATTAAACAAGACCAAGACAAAAGTAATGACACAAAATAACTTTAATCTACATCTATGTACATAAGAGACATTATGACAAATTTAAATGGCACATAGTTTTAAATCTGTGGTTGTTGGATTATCATGATTTCTGGATGTTTGGGTTTTTTGGTTTGTGGTTTTTGTTTCGGGTTGTTCATGGTTCAAAGTTTTGCATTATTAGTTTTTCTTTGTAAGTTTGTTTGTATGAATTATTCTGGGGTCCTGAATAGTTTCTGTTATTTCTGTTAGTGCTTTAGTTTGTTTCATTCTAGATGAAGTCAGTAATCAGGCCCGTTGCATCTACCTGAGTTCCTGTATCACTCATGGTGCTCACCTGTTTCACCTGCCGCTCCTGTCTTTGCTCACTGCTGGATTCTTGTTTCTGATTCGAAGAAACAACATGAAAGGAAGGCAGCAGGTGTGCACATTACCCGTACCCAATAAAGTGACAAAAAACAACAATACAGGACTCTTCTGAGGTCCTGGAATTAGAATAATGAGTAAACTTTAAATTCTTCCTCGTCGAGCTCATACCAGGCATAATACAGCAGGTGACACAAATAAGGCTTTCACAATAAAAGAATTTAAAATAAAATGTCTGATTTATTAATTGTTTTTGTTGGTTTGAGATCTGTGTCAAACTCCTTTCAGGCCTAAAAAAATGGCCCAGGCAGCAAAACAATGTAAGAACCAGACAGGATCCAAAAAATGCAGAACTCTGAATATTTTTTATATATATTCACAATAACTTTGTTACAGTTTCACAGCAAGACATGATTTCAACCATCAGCAGGAGGGAGAGTCTCCCCTGATCTCAGCCAACAGCTTTTAAATCATCGGGGCTAATTAATGGAGACAGCACTTACACTTCCAGGTAGAAAATATACATGTGTGCTCAATTATATTTCTAGAAAAACATTTACATAATTATAATTAACTTTAACAACTTCAAAACTAAAACACAATCTGGGCCCAAACAACATCCAAAACTTCTCCCCTCCCTCTCAAACACTGTGGCCTTTCCCAGTGAGGCTGATTGAAAACAGCAGGTCCCTAATGGATGCGTTTCCATGGCAACACATGACCAGGTGACCTCAAAGAGAAGGAGAATAAAATCTCAAATAAATCAGGTTTAAACTTTCCCCCAAACAAAAACAATATAGTTACCAGTTAAACTGGTTAGAAAGCACAAACTAAGCCGCTGTTAGAGGCAGCAGATCCCTCAGCACTGGGACATGGCCGCCCATCTGGGGTCACCAAAAGGCTCCTGGAGGACTCTCAGACCAGGAGGATCACATTTTTCTGGTCAGATGAGACAAACATTGAACTCTGTGGCATGAAGGCAAGGCAACGTTTTAGGAGGTTACCAAGTCCATCACCAGGCCCTACCGTACAGTACAGAGGTAGCATCATCCGATATCTGTCAAGGTTCCCGTTTTGGCTGGGAAACTTCCATATTTCACCCCTCTGTCCCAGCATGCTCCTGTAATGTTCCCCTAAATTTACCGTACTATAGCAATCATGTCGCAATCACCACCCAGTTTTTCCAGTAAAAGGTCATGATGCAACAGGTCTTAGATTGACATGGGCGTTTACTGCAAGACTTTTCTCAGTTTCAGTTGCTGTGCAAGAATTTTAACCCTTTACTGGATTGTTTCTTCAATGCTTGCATGTTCCATTTTTATCCAAGTTTGACCTGTCAGACAGAATCCCAATTTTTCTTCTGGAGTACTTTCCTACATAAAAAGGTGAAGAAACATGTGAATGACTGGTTGCATGTAAAACATCTGGTAGGATCCTGGTCCGGGTTTGTTTCATGGGTTTGGAGCTGGATTTATTATTCTAGGTTGATTATTCTGTCTTCCTTAGTTTCTCTTTGATCAGTCTTGATTCTGTTTTACTTTAGTTCAGTTCTTCGTAGTCTCACTTATAGTTATTTTTATTTGCTTTATTTTGTTCAGGTTTCTGTAGTGTTAGATTTATTTCCTAGTCCAGAGTTTCCCAACCCTCAAAGCTCACTGTACATGTTTTAGAGGTTTCCCTGCTTTAATGTGCCTGATTCAGCTGATTGCAGTTCAACAAACGCCTGTTAATCAGTCATCGATTGAAATCAGCTGGACTGAAGCAAGGACATACCTAAAACATGCAGGGCAGTGAGCCTGGAGGACCAGGGTTGGGAAACACCGTCTAGTCCCAGTGAAGTCTCCCTCGCCCCCTGTGCCTCCTCTCTCTCCCCTCACACCTGTAGCCTGTCGGCTCATCAGCCCAGGTCTTTTGCTCATCCTTCGTCTCTCCTCGCCTCTCATCTGCTCCCATCACTTTGTTTCCCCTGGATTGATGGTTTGTGTTGCTGTTTGTTTTTTTCTGTAAGTTTTTTCATTTCTTCATTAAAATCACTAAAGACTGCATTCGGTATTTCCACCTGCTGCATTTAGCTCCACTAAACCACATTCATCATGACGGGTCCTGAAAAGTGCTACAGGTCTTTATACTTCACGTATGATGGTTTATTAGTTCTGTTATTATTAATCAATAAAAATGACTGGAAATGCACAGAAACACAAGGCTCCCTCCTGTTTCTCCTAATACTTGATGTGTGAACACAAACCTTACTTGTAACGAGGGGCTTTAGATTAAATCCCACCAGCAGAAAAAATAGTTCATATAAGAATCTGTTTGACATGAAACTGCATGATGAATATATTTTGTGCTTTAAAATGTCCCATCATCTTTCTTTATCGTTTTCTCTCCACAGCAACAAAACATTTTAAAATGTTTTTCATCAGAAGAAAGTTTCTAAACACCTTCAGAGTTTTTCTGCTTGGTTACATTCAGACGTGTTTAGGATTCATTGTTCCAATTTGTTTTTCTACAGAACGAACATCAGCAAGCCAAGAGGAAGTGTGATGATGCAGAACCGCCCTGCTGCTCTGCAGGTGGAGCGAAGTGGAAGTTCAGGTTGAACAGATCAGTCTGCAGATAGGAGGTCCAGCTGGGTGTTTAGAGCTGAACTGAGGAGGAGCCTCCGTGGTGCCTTCAGGGACCTCAACCTGCTGGAAAACTGAAGCTCATGTTAAACAAGGAGTTCAGCTGCACTTCCTGAGACATCATCTTTTATAATGCATAAGATCTGCATATAAACATGAAATATCTGAAGCTCTGCGAGGAATTTTTCATTTTAATAAATATTATTCAAATTAGATGGAAAGTGATTGTTGAAACAACATTTTCCCACTACACTTAAACACCCCACTTTAAGAAGACGTGAAAAAGTGTCAGCAGCTCATTTCAGCCCAGCGCCTACTGCAACAATCACAGCACCTCTGCATCAACTCAGTGAGAAATGGCTCCAAAAAAGGCCAAAATGATTTTAAGTGATGTCCTGGAGAACCTGGAACAGAAGAACTACAAGAAGTTCTGCTCAGCACTTGTAGACAGGGATAAAAGAGTCAAGAGGAACCAGGTGGAGAATAAAGACTTCATGGACATTGCAAATGTGATGGTCAATGTTTATGACAAAGACACCCTGAAAGTGGCCGAGGAGCTGCTCAGAGAGATCTGCTGTGTGGAGGACGCAAACGACCTGGGTAAATATCTCCACAGCATCAGGATCCATTTACTCCTTCTATGCTAAGATCCACCATCAGGAGAATTCAAACATTTAGATTGTTTTATCTTCAGAATCTAGCATGTTTGATTTTATTTGATTTAACTGATTTCAAAGAGCTGACTTGTACTGTAAAATCCTTCAGGCTGAACCAGACATCTGACAGCTTCCCTCTGTTAACTCTGTAAGCTGATGTGGAAAAACAAAAAAGAAAACCCTAAAAATCAGGCGGTCTGAGCTTAATTTCTCTTCAGTTTTGTCTTTTTTGGCAGAAAACTTGACAAACTGAGCAGTTTAGTTCCGACTGCCATGTAAGTTTTAGGCTGGGTTTAGTTCTGGATCACTGCTGATCCAAACTGTGCAGCTGTCAGGTAAACACGCTTCAGTGCTGCTGAAAACATCATGCATTACTGACACAAGATCATTTACCGTTTCCTCTCATACAGCAGATACATATTAAAGCTTGAGGTGAAACAAACCAACCATGAGCTAAAAGCAAAATGAGTCAATGTCTATAATTAAACATTTTTTACAAATATATTTTTTTAATTATAGTTTAATTTTGAGAAAAAAATGCAAGAATCTGCAAAATGTTACATAGTGGGAGAACAAAAGTGTGAAGTGCTAAAAGACAAACAACAAAAATCTCAAATAAAAACCAAGAATTGAACAAAATCTGAATGAGAGCCAGTAAAAGATACGCAGCTCTTCTAAAGAAACGGTTTGACTGCGAGGCGCGGCTGTTTCACTCAGAAATCGATCTCTGGAGCAACCGGCTCCGAGGTGACAAACGGATGAAAACATGGAGAGACTTAAAGGTCAACACCAACTAATGAAGACCGCTGCAGCCAACAGAAACAGACAGAAACTATTCTGGCGCAAGAAAAGTTTTTCTGGGAAAAAACACTGAAAAGTTCAAGCAGCCATCTTTAGGATCTTGCTGCATCCCTGCCTGCTGAGGTGTTCAGGATTTTCTCTGATGTATTTCATAGTTTCTGCTCTGTCCTCACATGGAAACTTTTCATGTCTAAATGTTGAAAACAAATATTTTTTCCTATTTTTGCAGCTGAAGAGGCCAAGAAAGCAGGTTTACACACTTCTGTTCCCACCGTTGGTGAGCTCTTCTTCTTTATTCTGTTTAAGTAAATTATTCCCAGCCATCTTTAGTCAGCTTGTTCGGTGATGTGCAGCTGTGCTTCAGTCACAACTACAAAGTTTTTACTTTATATCCGACAATAGTTTTCACGTTCAGTTTTAAAGCTGTCAGGCTGATTGAGCAGAAATCTGTCAGTTCAAAGCTGATATCAGTTTCAGTTCAGGCTGGGAGCTAAAATGCATCCAAGCAGGTAAAAATGTGGATTAAACATCTTATTTACCTTCAGATCGGCTGAGTTATCCTGTTCAGATGGACTTGGTCAGAAACTAATGTTTTTTTTATTGATGCAGGTCCGTCCCCGGTGACCAGTGATGGTGAGTTCTACTTTTCTTAAACCTGTTGAAACATCAATTCAGAAGAAAAACAGCAACTCTGGAAGTAAACCGTCTGTAATTAGCAGCTTATTAAAGAATCTGCTGCTTCTGTAGCAACAGGAATATTTCAAGTTTTTATTTAAACTTTTAAATCTAAAAGTAAAGTTTTAATGTTCTTTTTAAATCACTCTGCTAATGAACAGTAATTTTGATCTCGTTTCTTCAGGGAAGCATTTTGTGGACAAACACAGGAGGGAGCTGATCAACCGAGTGGGAAACATTGGACCCATTTTGGATGAGCTGCTGGACCAAGAGGTTCTCGATAATGAAGCTTATAATAAAATCAACGCTCTGCCTACCAACCAGGAGAAAGTTAGAGAGCTGTGTACCAAATACCTGAATGCCAGAATGACGAAAGATATCTTTTACATCATCTTGAAGAAGAAAGAAAAGTTTCTCATCGAAGAACTAGAGGGAAACTAAACGCTGACAAAAAGTCTGCTTTTAATCTGAACACTCAGATGAAATTGCTGAAATTCAATAAACATGTTTTTAAATCTGACTGACTCAATTTGTTAAAAAAAACAACAAAGCAGTAGATTTATAAAAGAAAACTGCAGCTACAGTCAGGATGTCAGCCAGATTTAAAAGATCATGTCTCCATTTCTGCATGTTCTGCATATATCCAAGTATTTTCTTCAGTGGTTTATTGAAATTAAAGCTTCTTTGAAATCACACTCACCCTAAACATCTACTCTGATCTTCATTTATCATCCAGTCTGAGATTTTCACTAAAAGACTTAACCTGTAAAAGTATGCAGAGAAAACTAAATATATTAAATTAAGAAAAAAAGTCTGAAAACTGGATTAAAACTTGTCTGGCAGAAGTGGAAGTAACACATTTCAGCTCCTCATACCAGAAGAGTTATATTTTTGTATAGAAGCATTTTATTTACAGCTGCTGATGTCTCTGGATCAGTTTGGCTGCATTCAGGGCCTCATGGAGCCCAGAACGTCTGCAGACGGCCCCCAGGAGCTTCGGGTTTCCAGAGGATCATTCAGGATTCCTCGCTGTCTTTGCAGGCAGGAGACACATCAGCTGGTTTCCTCTGAACCTCACTGGCTGACGGACACAAAGCTTTTCACATGAAATATTTGAATCTTCACATGAAGTTATTGATAAATGGCAAAATTTTAACATCCAAACTCTTTATTGGGACAGATTTGCTTTTCCTCCTGCACAGGTTCTCAGTAATCAACAAAATTCACAGAAACAATTGAAATATGGTTTTTAATGTGGTTCTTTTCAGGTAAACTTAAACAGCTCTCACCCTTGAACTTCTGAGTTCCAGTTGAGAAAATGTACGTTTTTGTTTACAGGTCCTTCTGTTGGCTGATCGGCTCAGTTGAAATTCATTTGCAGAAATTAAGCTTCATGGGAGAAATGCTGGACAGAGAACAGAAGGCAGATGAGAATCGAGTGGAACTGCATAGGAAAGCAACAGCTAGACTAACTCAGTTTCACTACTGGAGTAAGGAAGCCAAGCTAGTACACAGTAGAGTACTTGGAGTTACTCCACAGTATTCATGTTGTAACCTTTACTGTCACTTTGCTGCTGTTTGTAACCCGCAATTCGTCAAGACTTTTATTTTTGCGGGCTCACTTCCTGTTTTGCCCCAAACTCTGCCGACTTATTTAAAGCCCCGCCTCCAGCACACAGTTTCAACTAAATCACTTGTTCTGCTGTGATTGTGGCTGGCTGTTCCACTGATTTGATCCATTGGTGAGTTTGTCATTTGATAGCAATATTGCGTTAGCATGAAACCTCTACTCGATGGCTCATTGGAGCATCGTTTTATTAGAATAGTTGGCGCCGTTACCTGGAAGCAGCTGTTTGAGAAGACACATTTACGAAGAATGGGACTTCAGTTACGCCCGCTGGGAGACTCACCACGCCAACACTATTTAAAGTTCCCACAGTGGTACGAGGGTAAAGCAACACATCTGTGTTGCCCACATTTACCACTGGGACATAAGCAGTCCCCGAACAACCTGAACTAAAGCAGGAGATGCTAACAAACCAGCTGGTAAGCCAGACTCTGATGGTTCAAACAAGACAGTGGTGCCCAAGTATTGCTCACAGCAGGTGGTAGGCACAATCTTCATTACACCTCCTGGAATGCGGCAGGCCCTCCTGCCTCACACCCCAGCCTTACTAGGCTGCTTAGGAGTGTGCTGCATTTCAGCTGCATGACATTTCTGTAAGGCATTAACCAAGGGCTTGGGAAATGACACAACAGGGGTTGTGTTAAACAGAGCATTGCCATGCTGTCCAAATAGTTCTTGGTAACACTCATTTATGACGTTCATCCCAACACACCAGGAACTGAAGCTGAACCACTATCTGGGGGATGTCTCACCACCAACACTCCACAGTGGGGCATCAACTTGCCACACAGTTCAATAGATACTTCCAAATAGCCGATGTAAGGAATAGGGAGACCATTGGCTGCTTTTAGCTGTAGCCAGTGGCAAGCTCTCAAACACTCTCTGCCCCAGGGCTCAAAGAATTCAATAAAGAAGCTCTCTGTAATAGTGGACACCATTGAACCAGTGTCAACCAGGCAAGGCACCTTCACTCCAGCCATGTTCACTTCAATATGTGGACAAGAAGCAATTAATTTAGGTACATCTGCTGAACATAAACCACTAGTTGAGCCTACGGATGCCCCACCCAAGCTGTGGCTCTGCAACTCAGTGGGTACTAGTTTCCCGAAAGCTGGCTTCCCTGACGTGACCCCGACAAAGATGGCTGACGGAAGGTGACATTTGGCCCCCCACACTCCCTAGCAATATGTCCGGGCTGTTGGCACCGTCAACATATAATAGGACCTCGACGTGGAGAGCGGCTGCGCCCTTGTGCAGCTTGGAGGAGGGAAATGCTTTGAGTAAGCCGATTAAGCTGCTCCTGTTGCCGTTTTAAGAGTTCTTTTAACTCACTAACCTCTGTTTGAGAGGGGCTAGCAATAGCTGGTGACCCGTCAAACTGAAAACTGGGTGCTGAAGGCAGAGAATTACTCCGGCCCCGCATACTAGCTGGCAAACCCTCTAATTCCCACCTCATTGCCTCACCTCTGACATCAAGCAGTGTTGCTGCCGGTTTCAAACGAACGTACTGTTTTAGCACACGACGAAGCGCACCATCAAGGACATATTCTATAAACTGGTCACGCAAGAGAACTTCAGCATTTGGCATGTCCCTAGGGGCCTGTGCTTTTACTTTCTCCATGAGACTCAAAGCAAGGGAGAACTCTTGCAATGTTTCCCCCTCTAATTGCTTTCTGGAGAAAAAGGCCTCCTGTAATGCAACATGTGACTCATTACATCCATAAAGCTCCTTGAGGATAGAAATGATTTTAGTCGGATCCCCTCATTCCTGACTAGAGCGATATTTGATCTCATCTCTAGCCTCTCCTTCTAAATGGTCGTACAAAAAGAAGGCCTGATCAACTGCTGACAAATTTCGTGCCCGCATACACGCCTGCACCTCCTCAACCCACTCGCTCACACTAATCCCCATCCGTCCCCTAAACATAGTTAGTGCCTCTTACAGGAAGGAGGAAACAGGGAGCTTGTACAGGCAGCATGGATATGCAACAGAAGCTGAGCTAAAGCTAAGCTAACAAACGTCAAGTGTGGGAAGATTCTTACCACAAGGACGATGGATCGGCGATCAGAGCGTCGTTAAGCGCATTAATTTGCGGCTGTTATACAGAAAATGGAAATAAGTCATAAGTAATAAGCTTGATGGAGAGAGATGAAGCCTGCCTTACTTAGCATGCAGCGCCACAAACGCCGAGGTCTGAACCGGAAGGAAAACAACGTGATGTCAACCAGGTGAGGGAGGGCCCTTTATATACAGGCAGCGGCGCCACAACCAATTAGATTCAGGCACTTGTGTGGTGCGTTCAAGGCCTACAGGGCATACTGCCACACTACATTTAAATTTATATTGCGCAATATATTTATTTATTTTATTAAGTTATAATTTCTTTTCTTCACTCTGCTTGAGTATTTGAGTTGATTTATTTTATTTTTCTTGATTGATATTTTGAAAATGAACTTTGATTTCAACTTTAACTTTAAGTTGATTAGTTTGAAATATGATTGATATTCGTTTTGTTTATTTAAATTATGGTTATTGAAATGTTTGACTAATTTTTGGGAATTTAATAATTGCATTTGTATTTAATTTCTTTAAATGTTGTACATGATTGTTTATTGGATAAAAAACTTAATGGGTTTTCTGGCCTTTTAGGTCGGTTCCCCCCCCCCCAGGCCTTACGGATCAGATCCTCTACTCCGGGATGGCGAGTTAGGAAAAAGGACAAGAACTTTATGATCTTGGAATTGATTAATTTTCAGTTAATTTGTCTCTCATTGTGCATTTGTAATTGTCTGTTTTTATTCAAATCACTAATATATGCACCAAAACTAAAACCATTGCTTCATTCACACCTCAGGCTCCTTAAAAGAACCATCTTCTGATGCTGCTCTTGTAGCTGCAGTTAGCTGCAAAGCCCATAACTGTGACATGTTGCACCAGTGTTTCCCCTCTGAGGGACAGTAAAGGATATTTCTATTCTCTTCTGTTCCTCTAAAATGGCAGATGGTGACCAAGAGCCTGATGGTCTCTGTCAGAGCTCCAGCGTTCGTCTGTGGAGGGAGGAGAACCTTCCAGAAGGAAACACATCCACACCGTCTCCCTCTCTTTCTCCCTCCTTCATCTCCAAAACCCAACACACAGCTGCATGACTGAGTCATGATGTTTAAATTGAGTCTGACAGTTTAATGTCGACATGAATCAAACTTTGTGATGATGTTCATGTGTTCATCTCACACTTTCATTGAAGTAAATTTCTGTTCAGCCTCAGGAAATTTAGCTTTGGCAGTTGAAGTTTGTTCAGTTTGTAGCAGCAGTTTTCAGAGGTAAAGGTGAAATACCTGTCATGGTTGTCAGGCCTGTCAGGCTTTAACTTGTTGTAGGTGTTTAGTGGAATATTTTTATCAGTCTCTCATGTGGAAGAATTTTAACCCGTTCTAAACCTAAATGTGGAAACTAATTCTGTCTTTACTGTTCAGAAAACTCTTGGACTTTTACGTTTAGACAGTTTTTATAAACTCCATGCAGTTGGATCAGAATAAAGGATGTGAGATGATTCCTCAGAGGTCTTAAATGACTCTCAGTCAAGATGGTGTTTTATAGAACAGAAAATAAAACTGGCCCAAAGACGTTTGAGGGACACAGACTGAACATGTAAACTTTTACTAAAACACTTGAAACCAGATTTAGAAAGTTCAGTCTGCGTTTTCTCTGTGTTTTCTAGAACATTCTGTTCCCTCGTTGGTCACATTGTAAAGAACTGGAGCCTCATTTTGATCTTTCCTGTTAAACTGGGATTGACTCACAAACATCTATTATGTTTTCAGATGAATAAAACCTGCATGAGGAACACAAAGCAGAAAACAGCAGCTTCCTCTGCTTCTCAGTCACTTGCTGCTTGTTTCATAACTGATGTTTTTGATGTTTTATGATTTAAAGCACTTTGAACTGCCTTGTTGCTGAAATGTGCCGCACAAATAAACATGACAGTTTTTCTGCTGAGCAGGAAGAACCAGCTGTTTCAGTCTGATGGAGCTTCCACAGAAACTCATGTTCAGTAAATCAGAAGGAGCTCAGCTGCATTTCAGAGACGCCTTCCTGCTTCCTTCAGTTAAACTGAGGAGGAAACACAAGAAGACAAAGGCCTGAGCTTTCTACTCGTCTTTATGACAGTATTTCATGTCAAAGATCCACATAAATATATGAAAAATGTCTCAAACTACATGGTCTTCTACCCACATCTGATAATTTATCAACATTACAGACATTTAGACGAATAAAATAAGAACATTTTTCTCTATTTTCTCTTCACCATGTAAATCTGAATCAGAAGCAGTAAAATGAATGTGCAGCTCTTCTAAATAGTCAAGACTGCAGAGTTTCTCAGTACAGAGAGAAACATGTTTGATGAGACGTTTCATCAAACATGTTTGATAAAATGACACTGAATGTTAACATACTCTGATCTTCATCCAAGGAGATTTTCATTCAGACAAACTAAAGACTTGATGCCACTTGACAAAACATGATGTTTAAATTGTTGACTCTTCTATGATGTTAAGCACTTTGAACTGCCTTGTTGCTGAAATGTGCTGTAAAAAGAAACAGATTTTAGCTCCTCAGTCCAGAGCCAGCATGCCTAAGTGGGCCCCATGTGGGGGAAAGGAGGGCTGATATATGGGTCCCATATGGGTTTGTCTGCGGGTTCCACAATGGCCCCACATGGGTTTGTCCATGTAGGGCCAGAGCCCACATGGGCCCTACATGGACAAACCCATGTGTGCCACCACCATATAGGGCCCATGTGGAGCCCATCGTGGAGCCCGCAGACAAACCCATATGGGACCCATATGGTCTGCCCTCCTTTTCCCCACATGGGGCCCACCTAGGCATGCTGGCAGGGAAGTTGTATTTGTGTATAGAAGTATTTTATTTTTCTCCCTGTTCAGAGACGAGCTTGTTGGTTCATGACTGGCTGAACTGCAGATCAAGTGAGACTGATAAAAACTCACAACTTTAATGAAATATGACTTTCATTAAACTCATTAAACTCATTAAATTCATTAAACTCATTAAACTCATACTTTGTGAGATTTGTATCCTGTGATTCAAATCTCAGATTTCTTTATCTGGACCAGGCTGCTGCACTGAGGGACAAACAAGAGAAATCAGTTTCCTCGTAGTGAAAGGATTTCATCTGGGATGCAAAGTAAATATTTAGTCTGCTGGCTGGCAGAAATAAATCTGGATCTGGATTATCTGAGATCCTGCAGAAAAAGAAACAGAAAATGATCTGAGGATCAGATATTTTCAAACTTTATGAAATCAGGAAAACTTCATACAGGACATTTGTTTTCTCTTGAATTGATTTTTGTACATCTAGTTAGTTTACTAGTTATTCATATTTTAAACTTTAAGCCAAATACAATATATTTCAATTCAGGAACGTTCATTTGCAGTCAACCAATCTCAAAGCTCATCTGACTGTATTCACCACTGAGCCGATCTGGAACCTGATCACCACATGGGTTCATCTTTCTTTAACATGTTTTTATGAGGAAAACCTCAACATGTTGAGATGAAATGGTAAAAAATAAAGCATCAGATGAGAATCAGCTTAGTTTCCCAGTTCGCTTCTTTTTTTCTTCTCCACCTTTCATTAATCTCTCCACAGAGTCAGAGCGCCCCCTTGTGTCCTTTTACGTTTTCCGTGTCCCTGAAGTAATTATTTATATGTAACATTTGCACTGCATAATGAACAGAAATCTAAAAATGTACAGATGGTATTATAAGTCCATTAAATGGATGATAAATTTAAATAACCACATATTCCCTGTGAACTGCTCAATGATTGTCAGTTGTTTGTTTTCTTGTGCTGTACTGCAGCAGTTCATCTTTACAGGCTGCAGACTGAACATTTACATTTATTTCTCTTTATTTTACAGACCTGCAAAAGCATCTTGGTGCTTTTCTAGATCTCTGACTTCTAAGCAGATTCATGAAAAACTGAGCTGATCTGGATTCATGAGTGTTTATAGGAAGTTATAAGGTTTTAAATACAGTTATTGTTTTTTGTCCTGGACAGTCGAGGCTTGTGGTACGAAGTGTGAAGTTTTGAAGCATCCACTCACATCCATCGTTTAGTCAAACTTTCCTCATGACAGTTTTTGGTTCAGTGATTCTTGAAGATCTTCTGGGAAAATGTTCAGATCTGGAAACACAAACAGTGTCACACAGTTTGACCTGAGACGGTGTTACGCAGTGAGAACACTTCATTTAACTTCATGATGCTTTTATAACTTTTTATTCTGTTTTTATGATGTGAAGCACTTTGAATTACTTTGTTACTGAAATGTGTTGTACAGATAAACTTGATCACTATTTCCTTGCATTTTTTTATTTTAGGGTAAAACACTAAAACCACAACATTATCATTTCAGTTCAACGGCTGTTTAAAGTGCTTCATAACATAAAGAAACATAATAGATGTTTACATTAAGAAGGATTGATGTATTTTCCTGATATTGATGGAAAAAGACAAAAATAAAATGTACATATAGTTTGTGGCTTAAACGAATCATTTGGTAAAAGGAAAGGATTCCTGACTGGACTGTCCTTCTGCAGGTGCTGAAAATTACTGCAAAAAACTACAAGAAATGTTGTCATTATTGCTTTTATCTAAACTAACTAAAAATTAATGCTGGGATGCCATATTTGGCAGGAAATAATATTTCATGTGTCAACCATTCATGCTCTGCACATCTCTGACATGAACAGTCGCATGGACTCACCTGGTGACATCTGGTGTGTCTCCATGGTAACTGAGATGCTAAATGCTAATGGAGGGTTGGGACAACATCTAACGATAATGACAGATACAATCAATATCACAATCTTCAGCTATAGTTTCAGCTATCAACTATATTTCCCTGAAATCCTGCAGCTCTGATGCAAATATTTAGTGTTTATTCTTCAACATGAAGAAAAACCTGAACCACTGAAAAACCAAAGTGGAAGCATCAGAGCAACGCTGCAACCTCAGGATGAGGAAAACACCCAGAGCAAATGATCCACTGCTGGAGGATTTCTGCTTCTCACGCTGCAGGTGAAACTTTCAGCTTCAAACATGAATGTTTGGATTTAGAAAAGATGTTTAAGAGGACGGAAGGTTCTGGAGAAAAGAATCTGGAGCAGAGATGGTGTTAAACATGGTGGTGGTGGAGTCATGGTCTGGGCCTGAACTGCTCTCAGCATCTGGGACCTTCAGTGATGATGATGATGAAGGTCAGCAGAAACCTCTGATCTGCCACAGTTCTCACAAAATGAGTCCAAACTGGATCCATCCAGCTAAAATATGAATTAAATCCAGATGAGTTCAGTCTCCCCAGCAGAGGAAACGTAAAGAGACGATCCCCACAACAAGTTTAAGACGGCACACATGAAATATTTACACATAAACTATTTGCATCTTTAGAAGTTATTGATAAACAGCTGAACTTATTTGAATTGATTTTGTCGTGACAGGTTTGCTTCTCCTGCAGAGCTTCTCAGTAAAACTCACAGAAACAAATGAAGCAACTCTTTATTCTTTTAGAATAAAAGTGGTTTTAATGTGGTTCTTTTCATTCTGTGTAAAATAGATTTCATTTTCCTCCAGGATTTAATTTTTCATCAGATCATCGATGAGAAATCGTTGCTGGTCCTTCAGGATTTGGAGGAACAGATCCTTTGCGCTCCTGCCGCCTCCTCCTATGTCTCTGTACAGCCTCCTCATCTGGGCCTGGGCCGGCCGCAGCGACATGATCTCATCATAGGTTTCAGCTTGGATAACTTTGGCTTTTAAGAGTTTGTCCAAAATGGACGGAACGGTGGTGACTCTCTGGATCAGCTCGTCCCTGTGTCTGTCCACAAAGTGTTCCTCTGAGGAGAGAAAACAGGAAATGTTTAGTCACTGCACAAGATTTAAACTAAACTTTCATTTCATTCTGATATTCAGATGATGTGCAGTTATAGTTTTATTCCCCCTGCTGAGTCTGTTTAGCTTGTGACTCTACAGCTCCTCACTTTTATCCAGGCAGCAAAGTGAATGTTGGAGATGTTTTTTTCTGGGAGGTGGAATATGAAGGCTAACGTTGATCTACAGCAAAATAAATCATCTTAAAGGAAACAAAGGTGCAGAAAGAGTAAAACTTATGAAGCTGTTTCATCCAACGCCGTCAGTCTCATTTAACTGAGTTCAGAAAGTAGAGCCAGCAGGTTCCACCTGCAGCAGTCACAGCATCCAGGTTCAGAGAATCAGGCAGAAAATCCTCACTGAGGGGGGAAGCTAGCGAACCAATCAGGAGGGAAGCTAACGAACCAATCAGGAGGGAAGCTAGCGAACCAATCAGGAGGGAAGCTAACGATCATTACAGTATTTTGCTCTATGAGTTCTGGATCTGCTTCGTTTATCTGCAGGTTTATGACCAGCAGAGGAACAACAGGAAGTAAAAACATAAAGCTGTTTTTTCCTGCCTGACGCGGATCACAGATGAAAATCTGGAGCAGAAATAAACGTCACTGCTGCTGTGATTATGAGCAGAGCTGCCTCCTGGATGTGGGGAGATGACTTTAACTTGTTTTAAATTTCTCTCTACAATGTTCTTATTAGGTATCAACAGGCCGACCCGATCGGTTCTGGTTCTCCAACTAGAATCCCTCTGACTGCTGGAGCCTGAAGATCAGATCAGATACCAGCCGCTGTGAGATTTACTTTGACTGAACCTCATTTAAAACACGTCAAGTCAAATCTGTAAAATGTCTGAATGCAGACTGGAGTTAGTGAAGTTTGGCTGGAAAAATGGATCCAGAAAACGGGAAGAAGTGGATCTCAACCTTAACTCTACAAATAATTTCTGTCATATATAAAGTATGGATGATTTTTCTTCAGGACATATTCTGTGCTGTTGGTTTTATTTTGAAGCTGCATCGAGGTTTGTATGAGAGTACAAACCTCACATTAGTTTAATATTTGCAAATTAAGCAAAAAGTGAAAAAACCTTGATGCCTTTTTTGTTCTAAATTATTTTGCCACTTTTTCTTTTTTACATTGAAATACTAACATTTTTACAATCTGTTTTGTTTGTTCAGCCAAATGTGAATAATTTGACAGGCTGCAGTACAGAATGTAAACCACGTGGTGGCAGTGTTGAGCCACAGCAGATCATTCAGTCTGCGCTATCCGGACTTCACTTTAATAGAAAGTAATTTATTCAGTAATAAAACTAATTAGTTTATGAAGCTCGTTGTCCGATCACAGCCCTGCAGCTTCCTGCTTCCACAACACATTTTAAATGAAGATGCTTCTTATTTACGTTCGCATGTAATTTTACGGTACAAATATGTAAATATGGCTTCATTTTAGTTGCCTGTTATTATAATTGTAATATCTCACATAAAATCAAGCAGTAAAGAGTTTAATGCTGTTAGTCCAACAAGATGTATTTTCTCTCTGCTGTCATTAAATGTTAATGTAATTAACATTTACAGTTTGTTTCTAACTCATTCCTGCTGTTTGTTTGAAATTTGCCAATAAATGAACATATGAGCTGAACTCCGTCCGTCCAGCTGCGGCTCAGAGAGGATTGGAGCTACGCAGGAACTAACACGACTGCAGATCAAAAGGTTTCATTATGAAACATTTAACTATGACATAAGTGCTTATCAAAACTGGAAAAACAAAATAGTTCTTTAGAGGACATTTATGTTCTAACTGAGTTCTGCTCTGTGGAGATAATCCAGCTAAGAAAGGCATTTCTGGTGATTAAGAGAATATAAGTTCTGATTTATTATTTATTAGGATGATCTTAGCTGGACTCCAAACAACATAAGGCTGCACAGAAAATGAAATCTAGTAGAGATGGCTAATTTAGAGCAGACATAACCAACAGACAGGAGGCTGAGGCCTTTGAGGCGCTGCACCGAAAATAAAACCTCTGACATCCGCAGCATATTCAACACAACTGTGATTCCATAAACCGATTCCATAAATCTGTTATCAACTCGCTGGGATCTGGATCTGGTCTGGCTGTGATCAGCAGTTCAGTATTTTATCAGTGTAATTTTTAACCAGCCTGTTGTAAATGCAGCACTTTGTTCTCCAGTTTGTACTTGTTGAAACTTTGGCGACTTGAAAATGATTTAGAATTTGTTTCTTTGATCAAATTGTTGCTGATTTATAGAAATATGTTTGTTAGATTTCTCCAACATGTTGATTGAACAAGTAAAATCTTTATTCATAAATGTTGTTCATAAAATCAAAACTTGTGTATTTTGGAGTCATTTTGTTTTTAAAAGTTTCTCTAATTAAATTAAGTTTTGTCTTCTGAGGTGAATGACTGAGGTCAAAAGGTCGCGTTGGCCGGAGCAGCTGCTGTTAACCCTCCCGGTTCTTCATGTTATCAGGTAAAAGTATCGGTGTGTTTTCAGCACCACGTGTCTGAACAGCAACACAACAGAAGCGATTTATTTCACCCAAAACACACTTTACCACTGAAAAACAGAAAAACGCAGATCTTCTCCTCCCTGTGGAAAATGATTGCTGCAGTTCATTCTGTAAATTATTTCTATCTTCAAAATAAAGTTGATGTGATTTAAAGTAACTTATGCTCCAACATTACGGCATAGCTTCATGTTTTTAGTTTTATGTTGAAACGGAAAACCCAAACAACGACCTGCACACGATCTCTGACTCGGTTTTTGTTCCTGGTGTTTAAAAGAAAAAATAACTCACCATCGCTGGATCCATCAGAGGAACACAAACCTGCTTTTTTAGCCTCTTCAGCTGCAAAAATAAAAATCCAAAATCAGTGAATAAGAACAAAAACAAATTCTTTCTTCTGGCCAGAGGCATCATTTTAACCACAGTGTGTGTGTGTGTGTGTGTGTGTGTGCCTTTTGCCTTTTTATTTCCATAAAGTTTCAGTGTGAAATGTGTTGATATTAAATCATATTGTATCTATTTATATCCTATTTAAATGTTCCTGGATGGTTTCACCCAGAGGCCTGGGGGCCTCCATGATGTTTGGCTCCCAGGAGCCACTTATGGGAGAATCTCCCGCAGAGCCAGGTACAGGGCAGCTCCGACAGACAGAGCTGTCAAAATGCGCTACTTTAGCGCATGAATCCTGAGAGCGGCAGCAGTTTGGATCAGCACCGATCCAGAACTAAACCGAACCTAAAGCTAGTCAGAACTAAACTGCTCAGTTTCTCAAATTCCCTCCAAGTGAGAAAAGAAAAGACTGAACTGAAATTCAAGCCCAATTTTTAGTTTTTGCGCATCGGGTTACTGAGTTGGAGCCAAAAGAAGGAAGCTGGTCTGATCTGGGTCAGCAGGAGTCGAAAGTGAAAGTAAAAAAGAGGCGCTGGTTTGGTTTTTCTCTGATGAATCACAGAGGAAACGATCCAACATGTTGCATTCTGAGTATAAAACCGTCTGAATGTTTGATTTTTGCTGCGGATCTCCGTGTAGAAGGTAAATGGATCCAGACCCAGAGGATATTTACCCAGTTCGTCCGCGTCCTGCTCGCAGCGGATCTCTCTGAGGATTTCCTCCGCCACCTTCAGAGCTTTCCTCTCCGTGTGAACGTTGACCATCACCTCTGAAACCTCCAGGACGTCTTTACCCTCCACCTGGATCATCCTGACGCCGTCCTTCCGGTCCACCAGTTCCGTTCGGAACCTCTTAAAGTTTTCGGCGGACAGATCCTCCAGTTTGTTACATAAAAGCTTTTTGGCCGTTTTTGGAGGCATTTCTCACAGAATGATCCAGATGTGCTGCGACGGGCCTGATCTCCGGCCTGCTGACGTGACGCGTTTCGGTGTTGTGGGAAAATGCAGTTTCGACATTAACTTCCTAATATTCATGAAAATGGTACATTTCTAGCAGGCCTGCAGATGTTTTATACATGAGTCATACATGATCATGTTTCTGGATGTGCCGCTGGCTCCTTTTTCTAATTTTAAAACCCGTCAGTTTTCCAGCAGGTCCCTGAAGGCACCATGATGGCTGCCCCTCAGATTAGTTGTGAACATGTAACTAACACACCCAGCAGGGCCTGCATGTGCAGACTGAGCTGCTCAGTCTGAACTTCAACAGAAAGACGTAATAAGTCTCCACATGGCTCCGCCTGCAGAGCAGCTGGATGTTTGAACATTTACAGTCACATCGATCTCTGGCATGGAGCATGCGCAGTAATCGGTGTGAACCTCAACCTTTACTCTTTAAACAAGATGAAAAATGTTTGACTGCAAATTAAAATGTTAAAACCTGCAAGACGACCAAAAATAAAAACCGACTACAAGCAAATGAAATGTTGGAAGGTGAACAATCAGCTTTTACCAACCGATTCCGTCAGGAGAAAAAATACCTGGCAGCTAAAAAAAAAAACATCTCACACACACACACACACACACACACACACACACACACACACACACACACACACACACACACACACACACACACACCCTTCTGATGAACCTGACCTTCCACTGATCAAACCTGTTCCAGCTGCTGATCTTCAGGCATCTGCAGGACGGATCCTGGAAAACTGGCTGAGGTCAAAGGTCATTTCATCTACAGCCAGCAGCTTTACAAGAAATGCTCAGGTTGTAGGATGGGGCATTAGAAAACATTTCATATTTACTGTTTGAAATTGTAGAATTTCTTTGAACTCCTTCCTCCTCTGAATGTTGTATAGTTACAGACGGGACGAGTCGCATTTTTCTGTGAGGAGGAACAAAACATTTTTACACAGAAGGAGCCTGACTGAGATTTACTCTACAGCTCAGCCTGAGAACAGCAGCCATGTTTAAAGCTGCGATTCTTCACTTGGTTCAGTGAGTGGGACGTTTTCAGGCTGCAACAGGAAATAAGTAACAAAATAAATAAATGAATAAAAAACAGCAGGTTTAACAAACAAAATGTTTGTAGAAAAAAAAGCAATCAGATGTTTGCATCTCATCCACTTTTATTTTCATTTAAACAAAGTTCCCAGCACCAGAATCACATTATTCCAGACCAAAACATTTATTCATCTCCAGCAGTTGGATAAAAACATAGTAAAAAAATAAATTCATTACACTTTATGATTTTAAATTAAAACTAAAAATGAGTCATTCATTTCCATTCTGCAGCTGAACTTCCTCTGGTTTCTGCAGAAACTTTGATTTCATCTCCATCATCTGCTGCTCCTGCAACACAACCATCTGGTTTCTATAGAAACACTTTGAGCGCTGAAGAGTCATGATGAATGAAACATGTTTCAGAGCCACTCACCGTTAAAACGAGCTGCCTGTCATCTTCTCAGTTTCTCCTTCACTATAAAACAGATCAGAAACTTTCATGTAAAACTTGTCATATCAGTGAAAATCTGTTTGTTCCACCTGAATGGAAATTCTGCAGAAGTTGCTGATAATTTCAGTCCAGTTGATTTTTATTTATTTATTTATTTTATGTCAGATTGAAATACTTTAGGAACCTGGTAAAACATTTTATTCTGCCCTGATTGTAAAACAACATTTTTCATCATTACTAACTCCATCACGATGCAGTAACTAAAACAGACACTAGTGGGCGCTGATGATCATCAGGACTTAAAATAGTTTCGTTTAAATCTTCGCGTGAAATAAGTTAAATTTTGTTTTCTGTCGGTAACAAATAAGTCAAAAGTTAATTGAATTAAATAAGTAAAATGCAAACAAATCAGAATTTATTTCATTAATCTCAGGTCTGCAGTTTGTTTCCTTGTTTCCTCTGAGCTTTAACTCGTTTCTAAATCTAAAAGCTCGTCGGCGCAGAGACAAACTGTCTCCTCAGCTCCAGCTGAACTCACAGAGTGTCTCCGCCTGATGGTTGCAGCCGATGCTCCTCAGGATCTCCGCGGTCACATCCACAGCCTTTTCCTCCGTGAAGGTGGAGACCAGAACATCTACGATGTCCAGGCGGCTCTTCCCCTCCACCCTGCAGCGTCTGACCCGCGGCTCCTCGCTGCGGTCCAGCAGCTGGAAGACAAACTTGTCCAGGTTGTTCTGGGTCAGGTCCTCCAGGGTTTCAGCTAGAAGCTGCTTAATGCTGCGAGGCATTTCTGTGGAGGATGAAGCTGCTGGAACCGAACCTGAACCAAAACCAGGGAGGAGTCTGAGGAAGTTACAGTTTATGCTGGGAGGCGGGAAACAACGCGGCACGTTTTTTTGGTAAGCTTTATTGAAAACATCTGCAGATGATATTTCAGGACAAGAAGCTATAAAAACATGAAAGCTTCAATAAAAAACACCAAGTTTTCAAACTTCATTTGAAAACTGATGAATCTGATGAAGGAAAACTTCATTTTATTTCCTTGAATTAAGTTTTTGTTACAAATAAATTACAGGACATAACATGTAACCTAAATCTTTATTAAAATCCCATTAAAACTGCCTCCAGATCTTTATACTGTAGTCATTATGAGGCAGAGAATAATGCGCAGGATTCATTCAACTTTATCAAAAGAATAATCTTTATTTACTCAAGAACTTTATAGTGTAAGAGGAACTCAGTATGGCAGGTCAGGTCAGGTTTCCCCTCCAGAACCACTGCAGTTAAACTGGTCCCATTCTATTAAAACCTGATAAAGAGTTCATGAAGTTTTTTAAAGACCACTTTGCTGCCAGTCTGGTGACAAAACCCTCCATGGGGTCAGAGTGCAGGAGCGTCTCGGTTGGCTCAGACAGAGGAGCTCAGCTGATCACTGGACTCACCTCTGACCCCTGACCTCATCCTCTCCTCCTGTCACAGAACAGCTTCCTGTTGAGCTGATCACAGCCGGCTCAGCCTCCCACCTGCTGCCCTCCAAACTGAGCTCTGCTGCGGGTCTCCACCTCTGCAGCTGAATTACTGCTCATCATCTACAGCAGCAGTTCTGGTCACAAAAACAACTGGAGCAAACATGACGCTGCGTGAAAATGTGCAGCATCAATGCAAAACCATTTTCAGGCAACAAAATAAAAAACTGTCATGATTCCTCTGAATCTGACTCCATGGATGGTTATTCAACTCACAGAACATCAAGCCCAATATTTTAACTTAAATTATTAAAATGAACCATATTTAGTTTCTTATAATAAAGTAGCAGAAATAAAGAAAGATGAAAAACCTCAGATTTAAATAGTCATTTTATTCAGCTTTGGTCACATGTAGATGTCATGCACATCGATCTGGGGATTTTAATTCTCCAGGAAGGAAAAGCAGATGAACTCCAAGCAGGTCGGATCTGATGACATGAACGAGGTTTAGACGATCAGATATAAATCTGAAGAACGATGCGAGTCACTGACACGAGAAATGAACTAAAATGTGTTCAAGAGAACGTGAATGAAGTGATCCTCCAGTAACAGTGAAGTGGAGCAGAAAGAGGAAATGTTCTTGTTTTGTCTTCAGGTCAAGTCAAAGTTTTCTATATTTTAATGATTTATTTCATCCAGGTGTAATCTAAACCCATTTTCCTTGCAGGGTCGGTCCAGATAAAAAGCAGCAGGAACAAAATGTGCATGGCATGAATGATGGTTGTCAGAACAGTAGAGCAACTTTTCAACTGGACCCATGTTGGAGCAGAACCTCCAGAACCACCAGGAACTGAAATGTCCAGTTCAATTTACAACAATATATCTATTAATAAAAAAATAAAAACTCAACAACAGATGTTAACAGAAGTCCTGACCACTTTGGTTGGAAAAGATTTTTCTGTTTGTCAGTCAGAGGATCAACAACGTCACGATAACCAGAACCGAGTCTGAACCGAGTCTGAACCGAGTCTGAACCGAGTCTGAACTGAGTCTGAACTGAGTCTGAACTGAGTCTGAACTGAGTCTGAACTGAGTCTGAACTGAATCTGAACTGAGTCTGAACTGAATCTGAACTGAGTCTGAACTGAATCTGAACTGAGTATGAACTGAATCTGAACTGAATCTGAACTGAATCTAGTCGGAACTGAATCTGAATCGAGTCTGAACTGAGTCTGAACTGAATTTGAACTGAATCGGGTCGGAACTGAGACTTAACTGAG